CCCTAAACCCTAAACCCTGATACGACTTAGACGTAGGCTCCCGGAAGTTCCCGGTGCCTCCTGAAGCGCCTGCTGCTGCCTCGGCGAGCACAGAGTCGCCGAACTCAAGGCCGACTATAGTCTATCATACTCTATTCCTATACATATATATATATATAGATGTATGTATATATATATATATACATAGATGTATATATAGATATATATATATATATATGTGAGGCTATATATATATATATATACATACATACTTACTTATTTATATATGACATATGAGTGTATGTATATATATATATGAGATTATATCATAATGTAGTACATTATGCTCCTGATGCAGAGGCGACCTGAAACTTTCAGGGTTCCGGCTGAAAGCCCTGCCTCTGCTCATCGTTGCCAGGATTGCCACGAGCAGGCTCCTTTTGTTGCGAGGCTGGGCACTGAAAGCCTTCAAGGTTTAGGGGGCTTAGAGTCAGCTGCACACTGACGATATGCAAGTCAATGCCGAGAGCTTGAGGTCACGAGTTAGAAGCCCAGCAAGCAGAAATATCGAGCTCGCTGCTGCTCAACCCGGTGACCATAACGACAAGACGGTGCAGGCATTGCCCTTTCCATTGCCCAGTCTCCATCAAGCCTTTTGCAACCCTTTTCCCTAAACTAAACCCCTAAACCCCGAACTTTCCGTCCTGCTCTGCGCCACGCAGTAGCGAGGAGAGCGCTCCGGAAGCGGCCTCAGGAGTGTGGGATGAAAGGAGATCGATGGAGTTGACGGCTTCTGAGGTGAGTCTATCGCCCTCCAACTAGACGAACATAGTAAATGATTTATACAATAGACTTGGCTCAATGCCGTATCAAGTACTATACTATACTATACTATACGATACTAGACTAGACTCCTCTGTACACTTCACACTGCATACTATGTCATACTACTAAATACTGCTATATACTACCATCCTATCTACTATATATTTTTGCTATGTACTATATACTATATACAAAATACACTGAGACTGTATATTACATACTATATACTATATACTAAATACTATATACTATATACTATATACTAGGTACTATATACTATGTACTATATACTACATACTATATACTACATACTTTATACTGAAACATATATGCTCTGTTCTTTAACATGCTTTAACATAACATAACCCAAAATAGTGCTAGACAGAGCCACTTTAGGCAGCGCGGATGTCACATCATGGAAATGACCTCTTTATTAGACTGTTTGTATCAGAAAGACTATGAGGAGAAAGTTTTGCTCATTATAAGCAAAGCTATAAAAATTATATCAGGGACGAAAGGTGGTAAAATTACTACGAATATAGTGGCATAACTGTGTTATGGAGTATACGGGGATACTGTTGCCAATGTTTTATTTCCACCCCTACTTTACGTCATGATCCGGAATCCCTAGCCGGCCTTTTCCTCCTTTTTTGGCTCATCGGGCAGCGCCGGCAGCACCCACACGGTTTCCTGCACAACAAACACAGACCGACTTTTGGTACCCTTGTGGCAACCGTCACATAGCAACTCACCTTTTAGCCTCGTGTTTGTGTCCAGGTCTGTGAGGATAGGTAGCCTTCACCTTCACCCACAAGTTCTTAAACCACCGGCCCTAAAACCAAGGGCTCAAAGCCCTCATGTAAAGGGGCCCAGAAAGGCACCTGAATAAGAACCACAAGGTTGGGACATTCCATAATAACCCTTTCTTGCGTAGGCAGATAAAGGAGATCCCACCCAAAAGTTTAAGTTCGGGTGCTGCTTTCGCCCAGAGGACCGTCTTGCCTTGCTCGTGCGGCTCCAGTAGTAGGTGCCTCGGATGTCAGGGTCCTCGAGGGCTGTAGGGCGCACCATACATCTTATTTTTACGGGTCCTTCGATTACTTTACTTGCGTCTCTTGAAACCTATACTTTGGATCTTTGCATATTAGGCTGGTTTGGGGCTACAGATCGGGGTTCGATTAAGTGGTCACCTTTTGGAGTGGTCAACCGTCGTTTGATGGCAGGACGCAGTATTGCTTTCAACATTACCGTTTAAATGCTTTTAAGCGAAGCAGGCTTCACTGCCTGCCCCAACAGCAAGGGAGGCTTGAACTGGACAGCCTCTCCTTTCTACCTAGCTTTTCGGGATAATGGCTTTTATCATGGCGACCATCCCCATACGTCATCCCGCAAAATCAAACCCAACACGCACCCTGTAAGATTCGGCGTAGTACGGTTGATTGGGATGTACCTGGGGGGCTTACTACACTGTTCTCGCACGTGCGGATCATCACGACACTAGGAATCTTGGCCTTCCTCGCCTACTCATGGTGCTTTTGTGCATCCAATGTTGCAATGTTGCATCCAAGTGGCGGCCATCTTTCGCCTTCTCACCAATCCATTTCACCTCCTCACCCTCTGGGAGTTTCCATGCCTTTGCTCCAGCCGCTCCGGGCTTTGCTTACTGTTACGACCCTTTGGCAGGATCCCTAGAGAGGTAGTTCTGCATGGCTTTCAGCCCCAGATTCAATTCGTACATGGCACTGTCTCATGCCGCACGCGGGTCCCCAGTTCTCTCTTCCGACACCACCTAGTCATGCCTGAAGCCCTCAGCCATGTTTTAGTGTAACGTAATGTAGCAAAGCACAAACAGTAACACTACTGCCACAAATACACATATAAATGCGCAGATGTGTTTTAGAGGGGCACCAAATACGTGCCAGAGGAACAGACTCAAGTTGGACATGTTGGACCTGCAATCCGTCAGCCGAGGGGAATGTTCCCCAACAGGTGCCCAGGCAGGATCGCTCCACGCGGCTTTTGGCAGAAGAGTATCATCATCACAATATATCAGTCATACCTAAATTCCAACCAATCTTCAAACCCTCAAGCAGAGCGCTTCTGGACTTCGGCTCGGCCACCCGGGAATTGTCACGGCGATTCCAGAAGTAGACGCGCCCATCGTCAGTTTTGAGCTCCACCCACACTTCAGTCTGCACCTAGGAATCGATATTTTGGAGCTTGCTGTTGTTTCAGCACTCACTCTCGGACATGCCTAGGCGAGGTTCCTGGTACGAGGCGAAAGCACATTGGCTGTGGGAACGGCACATATCACCGTCGCTTGCTTTTGTTTAGGGTTTGGGGTCATTCTACAGAATCAACAGAACAACTCTACGCTGCAACTAACAAACAGACCAATCAAAAAATGACGTCAAAGTGGCGAATGGCAACGGCCGGTTCCGGGGTATGGGTTACAGCAGCTTCAGTGCGATCCAGATCCTAGACAGCAGCACAACAAGCTGACGACACAAGACACACGGGCCTCCAATGCAGGGTTCAAGCACATGAAAGCTTTCAGGCGAGTTGCCATCTCTGCCCTTCTCTCTACAGCACCGGAGCATTGCAAGTGCGAGGTCGGAAGCTGTCGATGCTCTTTGGGGACGAGGGTGATATGATGCTTGCGCGGGTGAGGCTTGGGGCCTGAGTGGGCGAGATCGAATCGAGACGTCAGGAGTTATGTCTTCGTGCAGGGCCACCGTAAAGTCTATCAAGGCCTAGCTAGGTTTGCGAAGCCATCTCATAGCGGGTTGTAGGTAAGGGGTCTCTTGTTGGAAACAGCCTTGACTGCCCGTGGTGAAGCACACGCTGGAGCCGCGTACGGCCGCGGATGAGGCGTCGGTGGTCGGAACTATCATTCACTACTCCTTCACAGTCCGCTGTCCCAGACAGTAGGCGCATGATCAAACGGCAAAGACCGGCTGAGGCGTTAAGCCAGCAGCCCATGCTGCTCAATACCTGAACCCATGAAGCCCATACCACCAAGCACGGTTCCATTGCTTAACCCCACAACACCTTTGGAGCTCAAGCATGCCAGAGCCGACCATCGCCACACAAGTGCATATTTGCGTCCGTGTGTCTGTGTGGGCTTATGTTTCAGCTTATATGGACAGGCAGACAGAAAGAGATTTCTAGCTAGCTAGCTATAGAGACAGACAGATAGGTAGATCGATAGATCGGCAGACAGTTAGAAAGATAGAGGTAAGAGCATATGGGGCATACAGAGAGCCAGAGACATGGCTGCAACCATAAAGATAGCCGTCTCTCTCTTCATGCATACATACATGCGCGCATTCCGCAACTGCGAAGCAGGGCTCTACAGCTATGCCTGCCCCTCTGCATATACACGTGCATATACATATGAATCTACCCATGCGTGTGTATGTACATGTACATATACGTGTACGTGAGCAGGTACATATCCATGTACATGTCCCCGCATATCTACCTTGACATCCACATATAACACATATATATATATATATATATATAAATATGTATGCATTCACTTACTTGTCCGTTTGTTTTTCTTTATGTAGAAAAGTGCGTGCGTGCGTGTGTGTGTGTGTGTGTGTGTCTGTGTGTGCATGTATGTGCGCGTATGTGCGTGTATATATTGACCGTACATAGTTGAAAGTATGCGTAGATGAAAGACACCAGCACACGTACATACAGAGGCATTGCTAGATAGAGAGCGGGTCATACATACATACATACGCGTGTGCAACTTTGATACATATGTATACACACCTACGCACATGCAGGCCCGCCTTCCGCTGACGCAGCCAAGCACCGGTGGAGTGGCGTGTTGCCGTCCTTCAATTTGAGGTTGGATGCCCTGGCCTTCCTGGCTTGGGGTAGGCTACCCTAGGTTTACAAGGAAGGAACGGAGGCACAGAGAGAGAGAGAGTGCAAAAGAGGGAGAGCGAACGGTGAGGCGGAACGGAGAAGCCTGTGGCCCATGGCCTTCGAACACTTCATTCATGACCCGCTTCTCTCCCAGTTGGCGGTTATGGGTCTTGGGGCTCCTGTTTGGGAGTAGGTGGGCAATGTTCTACATATGTACCACTGCCAGCCATGGGATACATGCATAGGTAGTGAGGTGCATAGGTACACATGTATGTATTCATGTATGTACCACATATGTCTGTTTTTGTATACGTGTTTGTACAAGTTAAATATGTACCTCTAAACACATACCTACATGCATGCATGCCAACATACATACATACATACATA